AATGTTAGGGAACTACATGCACAAATGGAGTAGAATTACAAGATTATCTTTGTGAGTGGCTATGGTTACACCATGGAATCCAATGATGTCACAAATCACCAGTGGTTTGGAGAATACAAACAGAACTGCAGATAAGGAGCCTGCAGAACAAAAACTTTTATTTCTTTCAAAGATTCCGGTGACATTGTAAGCCACTGGTGACCACCAACTGAACAAATGAAAATGAGATAAGAAACTTGTAAAACAAGATTGTCATGCAATTTGGAGGTTCTCATAATACAGTAAAATCCCCAGTGATTTCGGCTAAAGCTTACAATACAGTGATAAGAAATGGTGGTTAACAGGGCTTTGGTTCTATCCAGGGGCTCCTATGACAAGGAAAAAAAAAGTGGAAAAGCTAGAAAATTCTCCAAGGTCAGCAGAGCCCTGGAATAAAACAGTTATTTTATTTCTTTTAAGGCTGGGAGACTCTATCTAGCTCAAAAATACGTAGAGAATTAAACAATAATCATTTGCGGTGGCAAATGGTAGAGAAAGGTTAAACTACCTGGGTTCCATTTCAAAATTGGGGGTTACAAGGGACCAAATATATCTACTTTAATGAAGATGAAAAAGAGGCATCTCAATAAACTTCTTTACCCAGGGATCTTAGAAAGGAAAGTGGGATGTGGCCTATGGACTAAGGCCTCCCCCCCCCCCCTTCTAATACTGGAAAATTCCAATCTAGCTCCAACTCCCCATTAGCCCTGGACCACTGCCTACTGTAGATCATTCACTGATCTCTCTCTGCTCTTCCCCTGGAGCCTATCTGTTTCTGGATGGAGGCTCCTGTCTTTATCTTGACTCGTCACTGCTCACATCTTGTTTGTAGAATTTCAGTGAGCTTAGATGTCTGAAAGCCTCTGAAGTTACTGGTAAGAGAGACACATGATCAGATAATTTTAGATTGACTGGCTGTGGCAACATGCTGGAGAATGGATTGGAGCCCATTGAGACAGGAAGCAGGAAGAGCAGTTAGGAGACTATTATAAGTAATCAAGTGAGACCCTGGGCAGAGTCTAGAAGTGTGGAGGAAGGGATGTATTTTGACAAATGTCTATGAGACTAAATTGATGGGACTTGAAAAGTAATTGTATATGGTGCTGAGGGAGAAGAAAAGAGTCTAGACTGAGTTCTAAGATTAGCATTTGACTAGCAGAGCAAAAGGGCATGGATATGGCTTGAGAGGAAATAAAAAGCAGGAATGTGTAAGTGGAAGGGCATCAGTGGGGCGGACACCTGGGGAAGCTAATTCGATTAGTTTGGGTCATGCTGACTTTGAGATATCAGAGGGAGATTTACATGAGACAGTTAGCAAATAGTTGGAAAAATGGGTCTAAAAATGTAAAATGAGGTTAGCACTGAGGACTCAGATTTAAGAGTCTTTGGCATAGCAAGCAGAGTTCAAAACCATGAAAGTAGATGGCATGGTTTAAGGAAATCATGTATTAACGAGAAGTTAAAAAATGGAACCCTGTCTGAGCAGCCTGTGAAAGAACAGAAGAAGCAATGGCCAGAAGAGTCAGAGGAGACCTAGGAAATCCCTGGGCAGGAGTCACAATCTGAGAGCTTTTAGGGCAAACTGGGTTCAATATTCAAATACAGGGAAATGTTCCATTAAGATTTAAATATTTAATTTATCTGAAAAAATTGGAAGGGGAGGCCACCCTAGGTCTGCATGCCTCTGTAGCAATAGCGACCTGGAGTTGAGTAGTAGCTGCCTTCCTTAGAGGCAACATCATGTTCCAGGCTGCCAAGGGTGCCACCTCCCCCTACTGTTCACCTAACTCTCAGGCAGAGAGGTTATTAGTATTGCATTAAAAATATCTCTAATTTAAAATGTCATCTCCACTATCAAGTATATTTATAGTACATGAGAGGTCAATGTAGACCAAAGTTGATTCTGTACTTCTAGGGTTTTTGCTTGAATCAGCCAACTTGATTCATTAATGTGACTTGGCTGGCCTCTAGAATTTTTGGGTTTACAACCTTGGAAGAGTATGTTAGGCGCTAAGGAAGTGGAAACGTGAAAAAGAAATGTTATGCCAAACGAAATAGAGTAGGCAAGTGTTGTGCTGTGAACTTGTTAATTTCCTACATCCCTTCTGGTGACTTGGACTAGATTCCTACCAGTTGAAGCCACTGGATATAGGCGGGAAGGACAGCTCATTTGATAAGCATCTATCTGCCAGATTTCACACTGTATTAGGAATGTCACATATGTCATTGCATTTAGCGCTGGCAACTCCCCGGGGATGTAAATGTTATTTTTCTACTTTTTAGAAGAGGAAATAAAAGTTCAGAGAGGTTAAAAAACCTGCCTAAACATGCATAGCTAATAAGGAGCTGAGCAGGACTTTGAATTTAAGTTTGATCCCAATGTCCACTGTTCTTTCCATGACAACAGGCAATCTTCCCAGCAATAATAAAATACATTGAAAAGAAGAAATAGATGGGAAAATCTGATAGCCACTCCACATACCAATCAAAAATTCACATAAAATGAATCTATGATGGCATGTTGAAGTACAAGAGTGACAGTCAAGAAAAATGTTTACCAGTATTCTGGGCACTAGATATAGTGGTATTTTGTTGAATAAATCAACAAAATAATATTGTTTTCTTTCTGCCTTTCCGGAACCTTATGAACTTTCAAACCTTTGCAAAACATTAATTTATACAAAGTTTATAATATACATAAACATTTTTTTTTAGTACAAATGTGAAGGAAGAAAAGAATGGGAGGAAAAGCTACAGAAAATTTGGTGTTAAAAATAAACCACAAATTTTAAACTTTTGCTGAGAAAGGAATGGGCTGTATATCATTCTTAAATAATTTGCCCATTTCCAGCGAGATAAAAATAGTGATCTTACATATAAGTGTGTTCTTGTTGAAAATGCTTAAATACTAATCATAATATATGTGATTGAATCAATAACTATTATAATCCTAAATCTGTTCTTCATGTTTTAGTTTATTTTTCAATTCCCTAAAGGATCCAGTCATAATCTCAATTAAACTTAGCTTTTATGTTTTTTTCTAGTTTGCAAATTTGAACTTCAGCAAGTCAGCTGGCTTTGCTTTTGATTCAAATGACTAGGATTTATAAAGTGTTTCTTGCTGGACTTTGCATTATAATTCCCTCTCTTATCAGATTCCAGATTGTTATTCAATATAATAAGATCGCAATACTTCACTTATTGAGAATTTATGATCCCTTAAGGAGATTAAGGCTGACATGAAGGGAAATCAATAGTGGGCACATGAGAAACTTGAGGCCTCTCAACACTTCATGGAGTCTGTTTTGCTGGAAAATGAGCAAAGCAATGACAAATAATCCTTAACACAGTACTAAAAGCTCCAGAAATATTATCTTCGAATTTTACCTCCCTGATGAAAATTAGCTGTGCCACAGTGTAGAGTTAAATGTCGCCTTAGACATGACTTTTAAAAGTCTAGGTCAGAGCCCTAAGAAATCATTTGACCCAGCCCAGCCTCAGACAGGTAAAGTATCATCAACTGCTTTTTCTAGGTTCAGAAACTGAAGTCTTAGAGATAGGTACTTTATGTTAATAAAATTAAACTTCTTTATTGAAACAAAGCAACTCTTTCCACTAGCTTTATGGACTTTATTCCTATTTAGAGCAGATTATTGAGGCTTCAGTGGACATGTCAGAAACATCTTCTATTCCCAAAAAGCCTATGTATCAAGCAAGCCATTGCTTTAAGGTAAAATTTCCAATATATAACTAGTGCACATAGTATATGAAGATATTTGGAGATGATGCTAGCATTATTGTGAAAAACCACAGAAGTGGTGACTATGAGACATATAGCCTTAAAGACACAAAGGCACGTAGTCAAAGGAGCCCCCTATATCATGTTCAATACTTCAACTAGACAGAGAGAGAAATTGAGACTGGACAGATAGAAACAATAGGGCTCAATCAAGATTTGAGGCTAGAACTCCCAACTTCAAGTCCAGTGTTATTTCTATAATACTTAAGCTGCTTCCGTAAAAAGAAAATATATTTTTCTTTCTACATCTTTAAAAATGAAAAATTACCTGCCTTAACATTTATAAAAAAAATAAAAACTCTTAGGAATGGTGTCACATAAGAGGTTGACTTTGATGCCTTTCACTGTTCTCTATAATGGTAATTAACAAAGTTGCAGTATTCCAGGTTGTATTAAATATTTGCCTCCTTGACTATTTGGGGAATTCTCTTTGTATGGATTTAAAAACTAACACAAAGTATTGCAAATGATTTCAAAGGCCTCACTGATATAAAATCAAGGTTGCAATGGGAACTCTTTGATATACTTTTGTTCCCTAAGGAAAAATAATAGCTAGTCGAAAATATCCCAATTTATAAAAAAAAAAAAAGATTAAGTGTGTTAGATTCCTTTCCCATTTTTCAACATAATCTATGTCAATATAGTCAAAAGAAAGATGAAAAGAACTCGATTATGTCAGGTTCTCAATTACTTTTTACTGACTTAAACATGGAAACTGAATAAAAAACCCTGTATATTAGTCATAGTCAAGGTTGGCCCCTCACTGTAAGTAACCTGGGGAAGATATATTAGCTGAAGTGGTAAGCATCTGGGAAAAGAAAAACAGGCTCAAGTATATTAAGTTACAAGGTCTAGATTTGCAGGTACATGCCTAAAGACACTCTTCCAAAAACAGACATTGTACTTGGTGCATTTTGTCTCAAGAGCAAGAAGTAACTCAAATTTAGATGCAGCACAACACAGCCCTCAGCGTTGTCAATGTGAGTAAACGTGTCCCAGAATGGAATATGCAGGCAGAAGGCAGCTTGTTCACACTGGAACCTGAAAGGTGTGTTAGTCAACGGTACAGAGCCAGTTTTGCTGACAATGCCAGTGAAAAGAGAGTATTTCATCTTGTCGAAGAAACTCAAGAAAACAGAACAAAACAAACTCTTCAACTCACCGTTCCTGTTGTGCCCAACGAAAGATGGTTCATCTGTTGTGTCAGGGGGCCCATCATGTTTGCTGGCTGCATTGACATTGGATGGTCCATTGTCGGCGTTATCACAGCACCCTAGAAGCACACACAATGTCCGTCTGAAAATACGTTCCACAGGAAGGAAACTTAAAACACATAAACACAGTAGACTGTGATAACATCCAACCTGTTTACTAGTACTGAAAAGGCTAAATTCAACCATGTATAATTTTTACATCCATCCATGACATTTTCTGTTCTAAATATATAGCATTAAGTGGCTTCCTCTCCTCCAATGTGATTTATCTGTGATGTATTTAAATGCCTGTTATTTATAATTCTAATATTTAATGTAGAATGTATTCCAAAATATCATATATATGCCCTCTCATTGTTCTAAATACTAACTTCTCTTAATTAAAAATATACAAATACGATGGAAATTCTCTAGTTTTTATTGATACTGCATAAAACTTTTGGTTTACAACATTTATCTATGATTTATATGGGCAGATTTTGATCAGCTCAGTACAATCTACCACTGTGGTGCCAACACTGGTCCAGATGGGTTCCTTCCCTGGATCTCTTTGGACATACTAAAATCTAGTATAAGTGTAATAAAAATTCAAGCTACTATTTCCCATGTTTTAAAATTTGAATATTTTGACCTACTTTCTTTGTGTCTATGCTTTTGACAGAAGATACTAAACTGTTAAATACCAGTCAAATACAACATTGCTATACTTTTGTAAAAATGTCAAAATGTCAATTGTTTCATCAGGTGTTAGGAAAAGCATCCCTTTAGAATATGCTTTTTGATTTATTATAACTATTGGAATGAAAGAAATACTAGATATTAAAAAAACCAAAAAAAACCAAAAACCACTTCTGCCCATATACAAAGTATCACTTGGCTATTGAAGCACAGAGCCAAGCCACACACCCCTCTTTCCTTTTCCTCTACCCTACTTTTCTGCCTTAATTGACTAATTTAGACAATGAAAGATATTTTTAAAAAATTGAAAATCTAGGGTTGGATAGAGTCTTTGATATTATATTATGCCAATGTTTTATTTTAGAGATGATGATAAAGGCAGAAGCTCATGCTTATAGCAGCTCTTTTAAACATTCCATGGCAATAACATGGTAGGTATCTGAATGCTGTTTTTTCCTATAAACATTATTTTTTCACGATGTGACTTTTTCTCCATATATGTAAGTAAACATTTTGAAGAAATAAAACTAGGACAGATCCACGTAGACGACAGGCTTTCAGACCCCAAACTAATTACCCACAGGCAAATGTTTCCTAAAACGCTTTTGCTCAGGATGATTAATTCCTCATGTTTCTATCCAAATCCAACTTCCCGACTGTAGGTGTTAAAAGATCAGGCTATCACTCAGCCTTTTTTATGGACTCCTTTCCATTAATATGGAGGAAGAATAGCAATTGAGCCAAATATTTGGAAATGCTTACTATACAGATTCAATTTTGCTCCAAAAGGCTTTTGAGCAAGATTCAATCAGAAAATATGTTATTTTAAAGGTCTCTAGCTTGTAAATATACACGGTTGTGGATTTGTGCTGTTTGAATTTTGTGATGCTTCTGTGAATTGTTGTTCATCAGGATGCTTCTTGAATGAGACACATGATAAAAACTTTAACTTTAATTCAGACACACATCACAGTTTCTTCCTGCTGTCTAAATTGCTTTAACGAAACCATCTTGATATTAAAAACAAAAATCACTTACTGGCCTTCATTTAAGAAGAACGGAAGTTCTTAAATCACTTAAATAAAAACTATATAGAATAACCTCAGACTTAAGACAAGTTCTAAAGCATTTTTTTCAACCCCAAAGTGGCACTATCACAATATTTTAATCCTTAGCAGGTGCAAGACTTCAATACTCTTCTTGAACTTGGGACTTAGTCTATCTTTTCAGAATATTTGCCCTAGAGATTCTAACGTACAGCTAAACTGTCACAGTCTTGGAAACCTCTCAATTTAATCAGCCTGCGCTAGTCACATAAAGATTGTTTGTCATAAATCAGAGATAAAGACCAAATTGTGTTTGGTAGGAAGACTTTCCTTGCAACGCCCTAGGGGGTGACCTCATTCCCCAGTGTGGCGGAGCAGGCAGACTTGAGTCTTTGTTTGGAAGGCAATATGCAAATGAGATATGTGAGTATGTGACAGATGAATCAAAATCCATGCATGATAAGAATAGAAGGATTGAATGCCTGCATTTGGAACTAATTTAGGAAGGATTGTCTGGTCTCTTTAAAACATCCTTTCTCAGAAAGTGTTTGGGGACTCACTTGATTACAGATGCCACAGAGCAAGCGCTGCTTCTGTGTAGAAACCAAACACCTGACAATCAAAGGAAAGAGTGGGAAGGGACTTGTCATCCTTTGGAATTGTAACTAGCAGCACTAGGCAAGGAGTGTAAAACAATGTAAGGGAAACATTCTTTTCCTACCCAGACCAGCTCTTACAAATGAATGAACAATAAAATAGTAATTCTTGGGGGAGGACTGGTAAGAACATACATTCTTGTTCATATTTAGTAAAGATGTTCAATGAAAAAAGGATTCCCACAAATTATTAAGAACATTAATTTCGTAACTGTCTTAAGGGATGGAAGAACTTTACAATCAGTGAGTAAGGTGGAAATACTAGTAGTAGGCAGGAACCTCTTGGAGAAACACATTTTCTTGATGACACTTTATCAGGGAAGGAAACTTAAAGAATTTGAAGTGCTGGCTGTTTACAACAAAGAATGGTGTTTGCAAGTCACTTTCCTCATCAAAGAATGTCCTTTGTATTGTATATGCCATTTACAAAGAAGAGAGAAAAGAAAGAACAAAATAGGAAAAGAAAAACAACAAAAAAGGAAAAGAAAAACCTATGATTGTTAAGGCCAAACTAGTGCCCTCACCTATAATTGTGTCTCATTAAATATACTGTCAAATCCATTTCTACCCAATGCATTTAAGCCATAGACTGAAGAGTGTTTTGTGACAGATGTTGCCAACACATTAAGGGTAATTTCATTTTCTCGAAATGTATAGAATGTGCTGTCTGACAGAGTTTGCTTGGCAAATGGCAAGGCAAAAGGAAACAGATTTTTCATTTTAGCATCTCCGGATGTCTGGGTTTGCTCAATGTTTAAGCGGCAAAGAAAAATACTGTAACATGCTGTAATTCCACTAAAAAGCACAATGACCAAACAGCTGATGGAAATGTCTGGTCTGTTTTAGCCACTGCCTCTGCAAAACAAAGCTGCTCACGCTCAAGAGATGGAGGGCCGATCTGGTCGCCCTAGTTCTGAAATAAACAATTTCAATAGTAATTTGGAGAAAGTTTCCAAAGATCATTGATGTGGAGTAAACACAGCTGACCTAAGGCCAGAAAAGCAACTGTGTGGTTAACCTTCTGCCAATAGTTGAAAGAAATTTCAAGTCTTGGAGAGTTCATCAATATTTTAATTTCCCAAATGAAATATAAGATGATTGGCAAATAGGGGAAATGCGGGCAGGCTCTCTTCCAACAAGAGCACACAGAGCTGGCTCAAAAGCTGTATGAAACTATTGCAAATTTGCTGATCAGTTTCCCTGTTTTCTCTTATTTCCTCTTGGTCTAGCTCTAGTTCAACACAGCAACCAGAGCGATCCTTTGAAAATGTAAGTCAGATCCTGTCACTCTGAGGAGTTAGATGGGATCAGGCAGTTTAGGACAAGGGCTCCAGGAAGAGAAGATGGTAGCTAAGGCCTGGAGTGGAGACAGTGGCTAGAAGAGGTCAATGTGGGGAGAAGGGGGACATATTTAATACTTTCAACAATAAAGATTTAAAAATAAAATAAAAAAAGATCAATTAAAGCTCAAAAAAAAAAAAAGAGATGAGCCAGGTGGTCAGGATGTGAGCAAGACAGGCAGAATGTACCAGCCAACTGTAGAGCTGCCCTCCCCTGAACACAGAATGGGAACTAAAAGCAGGAAGACGTGGGCAAAAAGAGATTGGGTGGTATTTTTTTGAAAGAGCCAATAGAAGGCAAGAGCAGGAAAATATAAACCCCTAGACTAGTGATCGTCTGAAGCGACCTTTTTTGGGACCCTTCTGGTGTGCCAAGAGATTTATTACTTTTGCTGTAATAAACTTCACTTCCCTTTGCTTACTGCTCCCTTGTCCCAGTTCACATTCGAGTCTCAACTCCTTTCCTCCAATGGCTATCCCTCTTACTCAGGACAAAAGCCATTATCAGTGCAAGGGCCCAACAAAGCCCGAGATTAATTGCCCTTTTGCGCCTTCTCTGATTTTCTCTCTTACCATTTTCTGTGTGGTTCACTTTGCAAGCACACTAGCCTCCTGGCTATTTCTCAAATATTTTCCTTCCTTCATCACTTTTGCATGTGATTCCCCTTCACCTGGAATGCCTTTCCCCCAGATAATCTGCTCAAATGTCTCTACTCAACCCCTCTTCCCTTCTTCAGTTTCTCTCTCAGAGGAGATGTCCTGGCTTATAGATTAAGTCAAAATTTCAAAACCAGGGTCTTGAAATGACATCCTTTGAGCATCTAATTCAGCTTTGTCTAATGATGGCCCTATCCTTGGACTGTTATATGAGGCAATCATGCCCTGTAGAGTTTGTTACAGTATCTGGCCAACAATTTGGAAGGCATCATACATGATACACATCATTATCATTAGTATCCTTTAATCAGAATGTATTGTTCAAATTTTAATGTGATAGAATTGTATAAAGATGAGTATTAGCAGAAAGAAAAATTGTAATTTGTGTAAATAAAGGATAGAGAAATGAAAAACACACACAAAATAAAACAAAAATAACCTCTATTAAAAGCAGGATATGGACTACAGTGAGAAGAACACCTACATGAATTCCAACTTATGATCTGTGGACCTGCAGCAGCAAACTAAGGGTTAGAATCAAAATCAGAAGTCTCTTGGCTTTGTGTCTTCAAATCTGTGTTTTAATATCTCCAGATGACTGTGATGTACCCTAACATTTTCGAAGCCTGCTTTGTCTATAAATTGCTATTGTATAAACAAATGTTATAGTTCTTAAATACCA